CCCAAGACAGGCCGGCCGAGCGGCAGCAGCACGTGAGCCCCTCCGCGCAGCCTCAGCCGCACCGCGACCGCACCAGGACCGCACTGGGGCCGCAGGGACCCACCCGGCCGGAGATCAGACCCCAGCCGCGGAGGAACAAAGAATTCTGCAGAGCACGCACCAGTCCTGCTGCCCTCAGCCAAAAGGGACCATAAAAAAAAAATCATGTTTAAAAGCGGAGAGAGACATCAGAGGGCTTGGCCTTTCGCTTTCTGATAACATTTATGTCAAAGAAAGCTCTCCAGAGCTTGTGGTTTTTTTCTTTTTTCTTTCTAATCTGGGATTATGAGCAATAAAAAGTTCCCCTGTTGGTGCCAGAGGAGTAAGACTGAGCTTTTTCAGTCCTTATGTAGACGAGGAGAGCTGTGGTTTTCACAAAGAGTTTTCTTCTCCCACCTGCTTGTGGGTTGTTTGGCTAAACAAACATCTCCATAGCAAGAGACAAGACATATGTTCCAGCAAGGCGAAGGAAAAATAAAAACGTTGGGCTGTTCCTGTTTGGTTCTCCTCTCCAGCAGCGCCCAGTCACAGCCGTCTGCCCGTGTTCTAGGAGAAGCAAAGCCTCCAGAAGACCTGGCCTGTGGTCAGGCAGGGCTGAGGTCCTCTCAGCCAGCCCGCGAAGGACGGTCCCGACCCTTCTGTCCCTGCCAGAAGAATTCTTCTAATTGGTTTGAGCCATTTCCCCCATTTTTTGCAATGCAAGAAGAGACAAAGAAAAGAGGCGTCCTTTACAAACCCTTGTCTTTCTTACTAGAGAATTATGAAGCCTGCTCTTCTCTGTGAACCGCTTCAGATGTCCAAGGGCGCGCGCCGAAGCGAAGAGCCAGGGGAGTACGATCTCCCAGGCAGGTATGCCTTCTCCAGAGCACGCAGAGTCATTCGAATGACACGGATCACAATCAAACCCAACGCCAATCATCAGCCTCATTTAAAAAAAAACCACCACCCCCCCACGAAACCCCTCCCGTTATCCAGCTCACGTCCTCCACCCTTTTGCTGCTGCAGAAGTCAGGGTGCACAAGACCTGCATTTTTAATATGAAAAAATCCTACAAATATCTGAGAGTTTGGGGTCTTTTTCCCAGCAGGAGGGAAAGACACCTTCAGCA